TGATGATAATACTGATAATGATGATGATAAATGCAGCAATGATAATAAGCATATTGATAATGATAATGATGATGGTAATAATGAAAATGATGATAATGAAAATGATAATGATTATGATGATGATAATGATAATGATAATAATAATAATAATAATAATAATAATAATTATTATTATTATTATTGCTATCATTATTATCATTGCTATTATTATTACTGTTATCATTATTATCATAATCATTATTGATATTATTGCTATTATTATTATTATCATTATCATTGTTATCATTATTAAAATCATCATTATTGTTTTTATTATCATTAATACTATTATCATCATCATCATCATCATCATTATTATTATTATTATTATTATTATTATTATTATTATTATTATTATTATGATAATGATAATGACAACAAAATCAATAGTAACGATGATAATAAAATGATGATGGTAAAAGTAATAATGATACAAATAGCAATAACAATAAGAGAAAATAACGTAATATGATAACATAATTATGATAACAATACTAACAATAATGACAATAATGTTGATGATGATAATAATAATAATAATAATAATAATAATGATAATAATAATAATAATAATAATAATAATAATAATAATAATAATAATAATAATAATAATAATAATAATAATAATAATAACAATAACAATAATAATGGTACCGATAATGCTAATAATAATAATGACATACATAACAATTGTAGTCATAACAAAATAATAAAAATGATGAGAATGTTAGCAATGATAATGATAAAGATAACGATGATGATGATGGCAATAATAATAATAGCAGTAATTATGAAAATAATGATAACAAAAATGTCAGTAATAAGATTGACAATGAATAATGATATTGATAGAAAACATATAATGAAAATGTTGAAAATAATGATTATAATAATAATAATTGATATCATATTGATAATGATAATGATAATGTCATTGATGATAATAATAATGATAATGATAATGATACTACTACTACAAATGATAATGACTATGATAATAATGCTACTGATAATGATACTGATACTGCTACTAGTACAACTAATAACGAAAATTATAATGATATCAGTGATAATCATAATGATCACCATACAAGTTATAATGATAATGATAATAAAAGTAGTAATAACGATAATGATGATGACAATAGTAATGTTAATGGCGATGATATTGGTAGTGCTAATAACAATAATTATTATATCATTGATATTGTTATCATTATCTTTCTTATGATAGTAAATGTAATAATAATGAAAATAGTAATAATTATTGTTATGATAATAATCATATTGATAATGATAATAATAGAAATAATGGCAATAATAATAACAACAACAACAATGATGGCAATACTTATTATAATAGTGACAATAATAGTAATATTAATGATAATAATAACAGTAATAATAAAAATGATGATAATAATAATAAGGATGATGATTATAATAATAACAAGGATAACAATAGGGATGATAATAGTAAACTTGATAAAAGTAATAATCATAATAATGGTAGTAACTGTAATAATAATGATAATATCAATGAAAATTATAACAATAGTAGTAGTAATAATGGATCTTAAACCTGAATTGGGGCTTAGAATGAATAATGATAATCAAAGTAATTATAATGACATCTATTAATAATGATATTATAATAATGATTCGGATAGTAAGATTATCATTAATAATAACTTGAATTGTAATGATAGTACTCAGAAAAAATAACAATGATAATGATGATTACAATAATGATAATCGTAATAAAGATAAAATGAATAACAACGATGGTAAATATAATTATGATAAGTATAATCCTAATGATGTTAAGTATGATAATTATATTAATGATAATTATTACTTTAATAATGATACTAATCATCATTATTATCATCATAATGATTATAATAATAACAATATCAATACAATGATTATTATTATTATCATATTGATGATGATAATGATAATGATAACAATGACATTAATAATAATGATAATAATAATAATAACAGGTTAAAATATCGAGAATAATATTATTTATGATGATAATCTTGACTATAGCAAATAATAATAAAGATAATAATGATGAAAATAACAATAATGATTCGAATAATGATAATAATGTTGAAAATAATGATAAAGAAAATAATGGTAACGCTATTTAAAAAAAATACAATGATGATTATGATGATGATGATAATGATGTTGATGATAACAAAAATGGCGATAAAATAATAATGATTATACAAGAAATAACAACAATAATAACAATGATAGTTGTGATAATAGTAATAATGATAGCAATGACGATGACAGTAATAACGATAATTGTAACAATAATAATAGTAACAAAAAATGTAGTAACAATAATAATAATAGTAATAATAATGATTATATTTATAATGATTATAATAATAGTAATAATAATGATAATATTGATAATGATTATGATTATAATAATAAT